ACTAATGCAAAAAACATGGTGGCATCCGTAGAGAGGGTCCCCTCCATGTAAATATAAAAGGCCTTTTCTGGGGTAAAGAAAATTACAATTCATAGAATTTAGATGAAACAAACTAGTGAAATCATCATGAGGATTATTCTACATTTGATTTCTGCCGATAGTTCCCTTTCACCTAAATCTTACACACTGGACCTTTAACCGTCTTTCTATAGATCCATAAATATATTGTTTCTACATCTACACACACACAGAATCTTACATACACACATTGAGTTGTTATTTATGGCAAAAAGAGATGAAGATAAACTCAGGAACAATAAATATGAAGTGACCAAATAAAGACACTAGTCTTCAGCCCTGCACCCTGAGAACAACATATCTTTATTTTTAAGAGGCTGCAGCTGCAGCAGCAACGTGAGTTCCTCTCTAATGAACCGCTGTCTTCTTATATTAACACAAACCAGGGGTTGTCTCACCCTGAGCAGAGTGTCGGTCAGGTACACAGCGCACCAGGCTGCCATCACACACACCAGCAGAGACACGGGGATCATGGTGCAGCTCCGGGGGGTGAGGTGGTGGTGAGGGAGGTGGGGGAGAGAATCAGCCCAGCGCCGTCTCCATCGCTCCGTCTGCCCGCGGCTCTCCGCGCAGTTACCCGCTGTCACACGCGTCTGTCACCGCGTCTTCATGTCCGAGTGTGTCCTTCGATTGGACCCAGAGGAGGAGGACAGACACGTGTGTTTGTTTTCTCACAGATGTTGAGATCGAACCGGAAGCATCGGGACAAGATGACACTTCCGGCTTGTTCTTCTTCTGCTTCTTTACAGCGGAACTGCAGCGAACGAGCAGAGCACTGCCGCCACCCAGTGTTCAACTACAGGAATGTCAATGATTTTCTTTTCTTTTCTTATCTTGAATTTACTTTTTCTTTTCTTTTCTTTACTTATCTTTAATTTACTTTTTCTTTTCTTTACTTTTATTTACTTATCTTGAATTTACTTTTTCTTTTCTTTTCTTATCTTTTATTTACTTTTTCTTTTCTTTTCTATGCTTTTCTTTCCTTTTCTTTCCTTATCTTTAATTTACTTTTTCTTTTCTTTTCTTTACTGTACTTTACTTTCTCCACAGTTCTTTACTTTTACTTTTCTTTTGAGAATCATTAAAGCAGCAGGAGACTATAACATGTTTTAAACACAATCAATAAACACATGCAATCAAATGATCTGAAATACAGTGTGCACCACTGAATTAGTAATTTTGAAAGAAAACACTTTGAATGTTGAATTTTCTGCTGAGCTCCAGGAGGCAGCGCTGGCCTGTAAAAAGGAGTCCAGACCAATCAATCAATCAGCAGAGCTGCAGGGATGAAAAAAAGAAAAGCAAAGTGTGGGTCGAAATATTCAATTTCATGTGACCAGAAGGTCAGGAGGGTAAAAAGACACCAATAAATGTGTGTGGCCTGAGTCAGACGTGACAGAACAGCCAGTCTGACTCATGCAGCCGTATATGAGAACAGGCAACATGAACCTGCTCGTGGTTAACAATTTGCATGATGACACAGTTCCACAGAACCTCCACATTCTTTTCATTTGTTTAATCTCAAATACACAATGTTTGTGTCTGTGTAACACATATTCAAAACTAATTCTATTCGATCTCTGCACCAGATGTAGGACTCATTATTCAGTTGGCTGTGTTCGTTAATTTAATCTTGACGATTCTCTCTGCACGCCTCCTCTTTTATTACCTCATTTAAATTCTGAAAGCACCAAAATCTAATGCTCGTCCGGCCCCTAACTGAGTCGTCTCATCCTCAAACTGAAGTTAAAAAAAAGCTTATTTAAGGAGTTCAAGGAGACTCTCACTGCTGTAAAAACACAAGAATAACCACACACACGCATTAAATGCACAGGTAATAAATGTAGTCTTTTAATGAGAACTTGTGTTGTTCAGGGAAATAAAACTTATATAATAAAATAGAAAAATTAAATGAGATACATTTTAAATCTACTTCTAATAACAAGGTTAGTCAGTTGGGTACAGCTTCTGCAACTGATGACAAAAACTTCATAAAGTCCCTTAAGAACCTATGACAACAAACGTGTGTGTACTCATTTTTTTTTTTTTTTTTTGGCCATCTCCATGGGACCTGGTCCAGTACAAACACTGCAGGACATCATGGGGACAAAATCCTGGTCCTAATGAGGTAAGGCGTCATTTTGGAGGTCCCGGTTAAGGTTAGGAAGAAGATGAGGGATGAGGTTTAGCTTCAAAATGAATAAAAGTCAATGTTCTAAAGTCCTGATAAGCCTGTATGCATGTGTGTGCCTGTGTGTGTGGTTTTCATTTGCATACCTTGAAATTTAAAACAAAGCAAGTTCAAGTCTGCTCATTTTACTACCCGGGCACATGACAGATTAATTTTCATGAAGTCTGATCAGTGTGATGCAGTGAAGGTAAAGAGCTTCCTCTGAGTGACACAGTGACAGACAGGTCAGTAGAATCAGCAAACATACACACAGACACACACACACACACACAGGCTGGAAACTCATTCTGCTTTTCTGATGCTGGGTCGGGTTCCTCTCAGGGAGGAGTTTCCAGTCTCTCCGAGCCAATCAGGCCGAAAGGAAACAGGTCAGGTATCCGAAGAGGACCTCAGAGGGAGCGCAGGCCGGGCAGAGCAGCCACGCACAGCAGGAGGTAAGAGAGCACACACACACAGACACACACACACACACACACACACACACACACACATACACACACCTTTAACCCTGTGAGATCACAGCCTTGTTGCACATCAATGTATAAAAGCAGAAATTCCAGCTACCTCTGAGTGTGTGTGTGTGTGTGTGTGTGTGTTTGAGTGAGTGTCGGAGCAGAAATAGGACAGAGCCATTTTAAGACGAGGACGAGTGTTTTCAGAAGTGTCAGTGTTTAAAGAAGATGCTGTGAAATGACGACGCTCGCCTTCATAAATATTTGTGGATATCATATCAGCGAACAGTTTGTGTTTTTGGTGTCATATGGTTAAATTTTCAGTTATTTGAATGAAGCTTGGTGTCGCTGATGAATTATTTAAGATCAGAAACACAGAGATCATTTACTTAAGAAGATCCAGAAATCAGAGAATATAATCCTCAATATTTGAGTGTAAAATATAAGTGTGTTGTTTCATTGTTTTTAAATTAGGTTTTGTTATGCAGTTGAATAATTTCACTCGGTTGTGCAAGTCGTTTTAATTATAACCCAGAACCCTTAAAAATATGTTAAAATCAGGGTTCAAGCTTGTCATTATATTGACTTTTGCTGGTTTTTCACTGTTTCGTGCTTAAATGTTCAATTTTTGAATGGAGTTTGGTCCTGCAAGAAAAGTATTTCATTCATTTAAACATTTTTAATATTATTTTTGTTTAAACAACTTTAAAATATGTTTATAACAGGATAGCCGTGTTTCTAAAAACCTGTGAAGATGATATAAACAGGGAGATTTTTACTTTGTCACGTGCACAGAGATGAAGTGAAACCTGTTGGAGGGCGCTCTGTGTTTGTTTCTGTGCAGACGTACTGAAGAGGAATCAACAATGAAAACATAAAGAGATAAATAAGATCAAAATTACTAATGAGATAGAACAGAAATCTTGATTTCATTGTTTTGGGCTTAAACGTTTAAGTTTTTGAATGACGTTTGGTCCTGCAGTCACCAATCAATTCCCTCACTTGAACTTTTTACTGTAATATTTGCTTTAAAAACCAATGTGCAAAATGGGATTTGTGCTTTTTTATTGTTAACATATTAAAATTAGACAGTTTTCTATTTTAATTTGTCAGGTTTAAAAGTAAAACATTTATTAATACCTCACTGGAATATTATCATTACGACGGTTTCAAATTAGTGAGACTCAAGTGTCCTGTGCCTCAGTTTGACTGTGTTTTGGTCTGTCTCTGTGTGTGTCTGTGTGTGTGTGTGTGTGTGTGTGTGTGTGTGTGTGTGTGTCTGTGTGCCAGTGTGTGTGTGCCAGTGTGACCATGTGTGTCAAAGAGTGTGAATGTGTGTGTGCGTGTAGATAGAAAGCAGGTCCCCTCTGTGTATCACTCGTCTATTTATAGTGAGAACAAATCCCAGATATGAGAGGAATCCTTCTACCACTTACGAGGCAGCCAGAGAGAAAGAGAGAGGGGGCGGGGGGGATGAGACAGAAAGAGAAAGAATGGAGAGAAGAGAGGAAACAAATCAGTGAGAGAGAGATAGAAAGTGTAAGTGAGCTGGAGAGAGAAACGTTTAAGGGTGTTTAAAATCAAGAATTAGACAATAGAGGGTTGTGTCATCAACAGGTAGGTTGCTTCTGCTCTGTGTGTGTGTCTGTGTGTGCACGCGTGTGTCTGTGTGTGTCTGTGTGTGTCAATGTGTACACGTTTTTAATAGCTGGGACATATTTCATAGCTTTTAAAAGGAATAATCTTGTCCCAAGTATATTTTCCCTGTTTTAGTCCGGGTGGTTCTCCATGTTGGTGGATGTGACATGGACCAAACCAAGTCCTGAAAGAATAGATGGTTCACCCTCGGAGATGGTTTCTGTCGTTTGAGCTCGTTGTCATCACGCTGGCGTTGGGTGTGTGTTAGTCTCAAGATGGCAGCGTTCATGTCCTGGGTATTTTGGCATCATTTCTGGATATTGGGAGGAAGTGAAGACGCGTCGTCCATCTTTGTTTACAGAGCTGAAAACACGTGTAGCGTTATTGGTGCATCAATCAAGATCAGCATAGAGTTCCCACAGAGTCGTGTTTTACCGCTTGACGTCACTTTTCTTTAAATTCTACGATGGAATCCATGAAGCAGACGTTTGCTGAGCGTCGTCGTTCATTCACTCTTCTGTACGAGCAGCTTTACACACACACACGCGAGGAGAAGCAATTGTACCTGTGTTTATAAGTATGTGTATGTGTGTGCATACTGTACAACATGTGTGTGCAAGTGAAAGGGCTTGTGGGGCTTTGCAGAGCGGCGTCAGAGGGCAGCTGCAGCCCGAGTGTGTGTCTGTGGTTGTGTATCTCTGGGGGCGTCCAGGCTTTTGGTCTCATATCAAGGACGTCAGAGTGTGTGTTGTTGTTCAAACAGCACCGTGGCAACTGTGCTGCAGCAGAGACTCAGCCTCACTCAGCTTCTCTGCTGCTGCTGCATGTGAGCCACTTTAAGATAAGATAAATAGGACATGGAAACTTCTACCATCAGGAACCACTTGGGTCGGTGTTGATCTGCGAGACAGTGAAAAGAGGAGGGACTAAAACTGAACCAAGGCAACATGAGAGGATACAATAATAGAGATGTAAGAGAATGAACAAGGGAAACTTAAAATCTGTGCTGTTTCAAACCTTATTTCAGAAACACATTCATTGCGTTGAAGATCCACATGTTTTCTAAGGGTTTTGCGTATTCTTTATTGTTTTTGTTCACTTCTTTGCATTTTATTTTATTCTTGGGCCACTCTCCATGTTTTTATCGTGCAGCACTGCAGTCAATGCTGTTTCTTTTAAATATCATTTATAGAATAGACACAGAGAAATAAATCAAAAATAAATTATTTCATGGCATGAAAAGCTTTTCAAATAAACTATGGGATAGTTTTTGTGTTGGTCAGTCCTGAAAATGAATGAACAAGATAAACATTTAATCTGCAACAAGCATCTTAATTGTCACCATTGCAATAATTATACTGACATTAAGAGGTCATTTGGTGCAGATAGAATCAGGGAATAAGATTCTTTATAGGGTTTGTTTTGGTTTAAACTGAGGTCAGTGTGACAGATATTTACAGAGAGTAAATATATGTCTGCAGAAAACTGTGGAGTGTATTTATATTCACACTCACTGTACACTAAACCTCTACAGTACGCCACTAACTGTGCTGGACTTTTATTTTGACATTCCTTATGTCTCAGGGTCTCATGAATGATTCAGAGAACGAGTCCTCTACCTGCATCCGTCGCTAAGCAACTGAAACGCTATCCCGGCCCTTTAAAACCACAGAAAGAGAGAGAGAGTCCCAGAACCCTCATTATAAGCACACTGTTAGATCCCACTGTGCCCCTGAACAGGAGTTCCTGACCCGCTCTCCGTTTAAAGGGTCCGAGTCTCCGGCTGCCAAGAGAGGCGACTTGGCCGAAGCCACTTTCAGTTTCCTACCAAAAGTCTGAACTCTGTTGAAAACTTCCCGACACCTCCACCTCTTTTTGTAAGACTTGAATGGAAGAGCAGGTGTAGGTGTAAAGCAGCGTCTTTACACTGAGGACTGATTTAAAAATGATTTGACCTGTTTTGTTATTTTACTTGTCCACCGCGGTACTTGCTCAATATCCCCAAAACAAACTATAAAAAGTTTGGGCAAGCAGCTTTTCTCTTGTTGTGCACCAAAGCTTTGGAACAAGCTCCCACCGCGCATCAGACAAGCTTCTTCTGTTTTTACTCTTTCATTTTCTATTCATTGAAATGTTTTCCCAAGTCTTTGTTTTATTGCTAACATGTTCTTATTGATGTGTTATTTCACGACTCTGAGCTGCATTTTATGAATGAACGGTGCTGTAAAAATAAAAGTGTTCTAATCAATTCATGCAGAGCATTGACCGTTATTCACCCTGCCCCACCCTGCTGTCCTCCGCACTTCTTTTGCAGAGGACAGAATAACATTGTCAGTAATCTCACTGACACGTTCACAGAAAGACAAGGCACAACACTTGATTCCTTGGGCCTCATCTATTATATTTCCTTAATTACTATTATTAAGACTGTACTACTGGTCACACATCACAGGTTTTATGGATTAATCATTACTTTAAAGATCCAGTGTATAAGATTTAGGTGAAAGGGATCTATTAGCGGAAATGTTATATAAAATATTAGAGTGATGTTTTCACAAGTGTGTAATCATCCAACTGTACGAATTGTTGTTTCTTTACCCTGGAATGAGCCCTTTATATTCCAATACTTTATATTTAAATATATATATATATCCTCTCTACGGAGGCTGCCATGTTTTTTACAGTCGTCCAAACTGGACAAACTAAACACATTTGAGTTTGTGGAAGGGGAGGGGGAGGTGAGGGGTGTTCAGCTGCAACATGCAACTTCATCACTAAATTCTGCACACTGAAGCGTGTTATAAACCAGACATATGTACTTTTACACACACACACACACACACACACACACTCTCAGCTAAATGTCTGATCTGTGCTTGCTCCAGGTCAGTGGACTCACTGGAAGGATTATGTCCAAACCTTCGTCCAACGTCAGAGCCCTTCAGGTAAAACATTTTCATCTATAGTATCTGCATAATACAGTGTGTGTGTGTGTGTGTGTGTGTGTGTGTGTGTGTGTGTGTGCTTATATTCAATACTTATTTATTACTGTAATACTTTTTTACTGATTTTAATATTTTTACTATCCCCTTTGCTGCTGTTAAACATCACATCATATAACATAATTGATCACATGACATCAATAAAAACTATCCCGGTTATAAAACCTGTTATAAAACACTCCTGACAAAATAAATAATTTATAATCAATTCAATAATGATGCAAGTAAAAAGTCACATTTAGGGAAACGTTATAAATGAGTCTAAAATTATATGAGATTGTTTTATATAATAATAATAATATTAACAATAATTATAAATGTATTTCTATAGCACTTGTCCAAACAAGGTTACAACTTATTTGTATATATAAACCAACTGATCATGTATCAACAGTAAAAAATACAGCAGATAAGAAATATAAAGTAGTATTAGACAGAGATACTCAAAGTGAACCTCAAAATTGAGCTAATTTAATGAATTACTTTCCAGTAGAGGTGAAAATGAATTCACCCTGACTCATTCTACCCTGATAATAATGAAAATACAACAAACACGGAGGCTTCAAGTGTTTCCACGTTACAGTATTTATTGATAAAAGGCAAATACAGAGCTCTGACTGTGCATATACAGCACCAAGGCTTTATTAGTGCAGAGATGCAGCGAGGCGGAGGGATGCGCAGTCGTCTGTGTTTCTGTTGCGATGCCTCCACGTGTGTGTTTCCTTCTCGTCTGTCTCTCATCTCATTGTGCTCGTTTTCATGTCTAACCATGGGACAGGCATCAGAACAGAGGGGGTTTCAATACCAGTTCAGTACAAACATGAGGTTCTCGTAGTGCGGTCTCCACCAACAGTTTAAAACATAAACAAGAACAGCAGCACAGCTTCACATTAGAACTTAATGACATTTCATTAAAAAAAAAACCCACAAAAAAAACTTTATAGAAAACACTTCTCCTTTTAGGGTCACAGGTCTCCAGTCCATCCAAAAGTTTGTCTCTGAGATAGAAATACAGCACATGGACGACTTCAGGGTGTTTTATTCACTTGTAGGTTGTGTTAGAGGACAACGTGCACAAACGCAGAATCGAGAGGTCCAGAGTGACCGCAAACAATGGAACCATGTTTGTGGGTCTCTGAGGTTGTTCTGTGTCCCTGTGCAGTTGCTTTAAGTGTCTTTGTCGTCTTCTCAGGTCTCTTTGTGTTTGGTTACAGTCTCATCGTGGTCATTTTTCATCCCTTGGTTGTTAAAAGTCTCATTTCACTGGTTTACGGTCTCTTCGTGACCATTGAGATTCTCTTTGTGGAGGTGAGCGTCTCTGTTCGGTGGTTAATCTCTTCTAACTCGTTTAAAGTCTGGAGAGTCTCTCTGTGGTTGTTTAGTCTTGGTCGTTCAGATTCTCTCCGGTCATGTTTAGGTTATTTAAAGTCTCTCTTTAGTCTGTCATAAAAAGTGCGGGATTTCAGGTGCCTAAGCAAGTAAAAGTACATAATACTGGTTTATAGCATGCTTAAAGAAAAGTTAGTACATATAACCTAACTAATGAGAAACGAATATTAGTACGGAACCTCTGGTAAAATGAATGAAATATAACCAGAAGAAAATTCCTTAAAGAGTTGATTAATGAAATGAATCAAGGTCACATGAGGTTTAAGTGTTAGGCCTTGTTTTTTCTGTCACTCTGTAAGAAAGCTGTTGGAAAAAGAGGAACCGATGTGAAAAGCAGTTGGAGATAAAAGTGTCCTGTGAGAAAGTGGAAGTGCAGCGGACAGCAGGGCGGGGCAGCGTTGATAGTGGTCAAACACTAGAATGTGTGTACGATATAATCTGTTTTCATTACTAAGACAACGTCTCGAAACTGCTAATTCATTGTAACGATGCCTGGGAGAGTCGAGAAGAGGGGTGGAGAGAGAGCGAGGAGTATGTAAAGGGCAAACTGGGGAGAATAGAGGTTCTTCTTTCTCGGCGGCCAAGCCGACCGACGGTGAAGGTCCTTCCCAGATGCGGACCAGAGACAGAGAATTCAGTCTCCTCTCAAAGCATCCGCGGATCGTATCTGCAGTTTGGATTTAAGTATTCTGGGACGTCCAATATCTCAACAACGAGACAACTTAAAGGAGCTGTGGATTACAAAAAAATCTTTCTGTGGATACTTTTGCCTGCTCTTCCATTACAAAAGAGGATCATCGGACGAGTCGCCTCTCACCCTCTCTCTCTCTCATCATGTTATCAATTGTATTACAGTGTGCTGAAGTTTTTAGACTTCTATATTTTTACTCTTTACTTTTTAAACTTTGAAGCTTTGCCCCTGCTAATTCATCGCAGTAAATATTTTCATTAATAGTAGTTGTGGACATTGAATCTATGCTCAGTATGATAGTAAATGGATTTCTTTAAGGTTACTCTCGCCAGTCATTACTGAACAAATCCTTGGATCTTAAAAAAGCCACAAAACTAATTCATATAGTTTCTTTGTTGTCCAAGAGTCTATTTTAGTCGCTGAAAGTCTTTTGTGGTCTTTTTGGACTCTTTTTGGTTGTTATGGTCACTTTGTGGTCGCTCGCCGCCTCTTTGTCGTTGTTAAGTCTCTTTTTATTTGGTCAACGTATCTTATTAATAATTTATAGTCTGTGATCATTTGGAGTCTCTTCGTTCAAGTGACTTCCCAACAGGAAATGTTGACAGTCACTTGAAACAGAAGCCCTGGCTGCAGGATCCCACAGGTCCTGGTAGGTCTGCTCACTAACCCTTCCATGCTAAGCTGGAGCACGCTAAGCGTAAAGACAGGCAACAATCCCAGCCCAAGCGACATCACAATAATTACAAATCTTAGCAAACATGCTGTGAATGAGGCGACTCCTTCCAGAACGTCCTCTCTGAGCTTTATACCTTAATCTCTAGAAAAAAATAAATAAAACTCTCTGGTAGAACAATATCCAGCATCACACAGCACACACTCAGTCTGTACAGCTGTACAATGTCAGCATATATACAATACATTACAGAACAGTAGCATACAAAACACGTCTAATACAAAGATGTCAGGGCACGCAGCAGTAGAACATCAAGTTAGCAGGCCTGTGTGTGTGTGTGTGTGTGTGTGTGTGTGTGTGTGTGTGTGTGTGTGTGTCAGTTTTAAAAAGACAGACGTCTCTTTTAGGGACATGATGAGAACCAGGAAACATTGGTCATAATCAAAACAAGGCATTCTGAGGAAACAGCAGCCGTGCTCACACGCACGCACACACACACTGACAGGAAACTGAGTGTGTTTGAGTGATGAAAGTCCCTCATTGGCTCTTCTCCTCGTCCTTCAGGCTAATTTGAACATCCCGATGGGAGGTCTGCGTCCAGGGGCGGGACATCCTGTCAAGAGGAGAGAGGAGACAGTTGACACAGAGGAGGTGAGACAACACAACACACACACACACACACACACACACACACACACACACACACACATGAAAGAAAACATGTACTTGTAGATTTTCCAAATATTATGTTTGTTGTGTTCTTTTTTTATTTCAGGCTCATTCCCCAGAGCAGACCAGCGTCGCAGCCCAGACGCCAGAGGAGAAGAAGGCGTTGCCTGGTGCGGTGAAGCTGCCCGGGCCTGCGGTGAACCTATCAGAGCTGCAGAACGTCAAGAGCGAACTACGATGGGTCACCAAGGATTAACACGTAGGTACGAGAGGTGGTCATTGTCAAATGAGTGCCCTCAGATTTCCTCTTAAATAAGCCGCTTGGGCTTAAAGAGTCCAAAGCAAAAGATGCAAATCAGAAACACAAGAGACCAGTTTACACAAATTTGGGAATTATGCAAATAGCATGTAACAAATCCACAAATACAGGTTTGCAAATACAGGGAAAGAAGCAAACTGGAATTTGAATAAAAAACAAGTAGAGAAAGGACACATCAACATGTCTGCAGTTTCTATATCCACTAATTCAGGGCAGGATATCGTGTCCAGTCCAAATACTGTATCGATGATGTCCCAATAACATATCGATTAACACAACAGTCTCATAATAACTGGTAATAATACTCATTTATCTATATATTCTATTTATATTTAGCTATTTAAAGCTAATTAAATACTGAAAAGTACCAAAAAAATGAAACTTGAAAATCCAGTTACCAGTGTCGCACCTAAACTGTTGGTGGATTTAAAATGCTCAATAAATATGATATGATAAATCCTGAGGTTCAGATCGACGATACTGTGACGCCACAATCATTTCATGCAGTGGATGGAGCTCACCACTGGATGTCGCTGTGGTCTGCTCAGCCCCTATGTTTGGGTCAAGAAGTGTGTGTGTGTGTGTGTGTGTGTGTGTGTGTGTGTGTGTGTGTGTGTGTGTGTGTGTGTGTGTGTTGATGCCTGGTGTGTGTGGGCAGAGGGGGTTGAGTCAGGCTCTATATTTATACTTTATTAGTGTGTGTGTGTGTGTGTGTGTTTGTGTGTGTGTGTGTGTGTGTGTGTTTCTGTGTGTGTGACTTTCTCAGTGGGACACAGAAACCACAACATCCCAACACTTTGGCTGCGTCCTGCCCAAACCATGTGGGCGTACTGTGTGGGAGACAAATGAGGGAGAGGTGGAGGGAAAGAAGCAGAATCTGGCTGAAGTTTTACTCATAAACAAATTTGTCAGACGCAGTGCCGCTCTTTTGATAAATAAATAATAAATATCACTACAAACTATTTCTGAGCAGAGTCTGTATCTACACATTCACTGCAAAACTGTACACAGCAGCAGAATCCGAGTCCTGCAAGGCACAAAGAAAATAAACAAGTGTCTCACAACAAACAGTCCACATAAACTCAATCAAGCTGCACTAAATCGCAAACATAAGCCATTTTCAGACCTGCAGGTAAAATCTGGAGAGTTGGCTACGCAGTTTACCTGCAGTTTGCTTTTCACACATGCACAACGCAGCAGGAGGTTTTCTGCACTGACAAGTTCACAACAGCAATAAATGATCCACTTTACTCAGGTGAGAGGTGAAGCAGCCGGGCGCAGCAGACCGAGGCAGGAAGTGACGTTGAAAACAAACCACGTTTTCCTATCATTATCTAGTTGGACAAAGGTCAGGGGTATAAGCTGCCTCCAGATCAGCAAATAGCAAAATTCTATTGCAACATCCAGGTTTTAACCAGAAGAAAACAATTGCTGTGCAACCACTTTTCTAAAAGTGGTTTAGGGGTCTGGTTATTTTAATTTAGCACGACAATGTGTTTCTTCAGCTCAGTCCTGTGCTTTAGCTGCCGTCTTAACCTCATATTCAACTGGACCTCGGAGCAACATCACAACCCAGCAGAGCTGTTGCTGTTTAACACAGCGTCGGCCTCCGAGACTTCTACGACTAAAACTCGGCTCTTTGAGATGGAAATGAGCAGAAAATCAAGATCAAGCCACAGAGAGAAGCTGAAATGAAACGGGTCAAGAGAGCAACACTGGAACTGCACACACACACACACACACACACACACACACACACACACAGATGATAGATATTTTTTCAGAGCGGACATCTTGCCTCGCAGTGGTCAGCAGCTCTGAGGCAGCTAATAGAACTCCCTCACAATGTCTTTATCCATCTTTCTCCTGCAGGATCCCCCGGCCAGCCCAGGCGAAGGGGAGAGCTGATAATCTTCATAGACACAGACTTGCCCACTGCTACAGAAGGCTAACAAACTACAAGCTAATCCCAACATGTTCAGAGACACAAACAGCTCTCTGCGGAACCAGCGTCTGCAGAAAATCTCCGACATTTAACTTCTACTACCATCGAGAAGCCGGCATCCATGATGAACTCTCTTTCAACGAGTACGTCCAGCAGTTTGAAAAGTGTTGGATGATGCTGTTCTTTCATAATTTAATCAATTAAAAAGTGTTGTAAAGATGAAGAACGTGTTCTTGCTGCCGCTGAGAACTCTCTTTACGTTCAGTTGTAGTGCAAACAAAAGCAATTCTTTTATCTTAACTCTGGGTCATTTGGTGACGATCAACATGATGGACTGTGCTTCCTCTTCTATCACAGTCTTTTCCACTCTGTCAAAACTCTGGAGTGCAGGACTTTAACATATAAATGAACATTCAAGCCCTCGTGAAACAGGGTCACACAAAACATCTCTCAGCACCACAGGCGTTTTAAACCTGGCGTCCGTGGCAACATTTGTGCAGCGTGCGATTGTCGTCATGCATTTTACATCTACAAGCAATTCACTAGAAACAACAAGAGCGATGGAGCAAGCATCTAGCAGCATGGCGGAGTCTATGGCAAAAAAAGAAACGTCCAGATTAAAGAAGTAAATTGGCTTTAGGAGGAAGGATTTTACATTTCATATCATTTCTTAATGTTGTTCACATGTTGCAGCGTTTCAGATGAGTTGTGTGTGAAACTATGAGGTTAATGTTGTTGTTTCATGGTTATGATGATGATATCTTCAGGAAAATATGGCAATAAATCAAGATGGTTCCAAAAATTCCAACGTTTACTATTTATTACTGACTCCATCTTCTATAGGATTCTCTTTTTTTATTCTTTCCTGTCTATCTCAGGGTCGTTCTGTCCACCACGTTGCTCCAGAGTGAAATATCTGATGACATTTTATACAGACATGTGTCGTCTCCAGGGGATAAATCCTCCTGACTTTTGCTCACCACAGGGTTCACGTTTGACTGAAATGTCTCGCTAACCACTGGATGGATTGCATTGACATTTTGGTGGAGACATTTATGTTTGCCAGACGATGAACATGATTTCCAACAGCACGACCATTACTTAAAAGTTTGGGTTTCTACATCACGATCACTAATGTGCAGACTCTGGCTCCAAATAATGTCAAAAGCACAAGATGGCCGCACCCATATCCAGAGTATTTTGGCTTCATTTGTGTATAACAAGAGAAAAAGGAGACGTGACATCCATCTTTATATACAGCGTGCTAAACACCAGCAAGTCAGGATGCTACCTCAGCAGTTCTGAGTCTGAGTACTGCCTCACCACCAGCTCATGGCTGAAGACGTTTCCTCTTGCTCGCTGTCATTTTAAAAGAAACAATTTATAATCTCGCTGGTGCAGTTGACAGATGTTCCAGCCGACAGAGACGTCCCAAATGAGATGAGGACAGGACATGACAGTTAGGTTTTCAAGGTGACGTGATTAAAAGGGAAGAGACTTTCTTTTATGTTCTGTGTGTCGGGACATTGACAGTAAGAACAGCAGAAGAAATAATGCATGCACATATTTCAAGAATAAATATTAACCACGAAAACCCAGACAAATAGGCTTTGGGAGATTTTTCCGTTATTCTTGTGTCTCCAGCCGTAGTCTTTTATTATGTTCACACATAATGGGTCTTACAGGGTTTTAAGTAGGAGTTTGGTGCATTTACGAGCATGGAGTCTCTATGATCCTGAGCTAAACCTACAAATCCACCTGTTTTAAAGTGGAATGCCACATTAAAGCGCACACATGCCATCACGCCAGGCCAGATAACCCCTGACGTCTCTCCCCCACATATCCATCATCACATCACATGTCCTTCTGCACACAGACACACACACACACGGAGCAGCTGTAGCTATGTTTAGCGCCCATCAGGTCACGATGGAAGAGAAACATTGGCAGTGTTTTAACAAGCTTACAGGAGGATCTGACATTGTGTGGAAACGATTAAAAACACTTGTCACGAGTGGCTTATGTGCTGAATTTTGATCGAGTGCAACCCTTCTGCAAAACATATACACACACACACCTACACACACACACAAAAACACACACTCATCTGTGAGTATGAGCTATTCAGAGATGACGATCACTACAAAATGTACTTTGCAGAGAATGTTAAACTGATGTGCATGTGTGTGTATTTATGGATAAGACAGCATCATTAAACTAGACTGTGAACTCATGAGCTAATACAGGAAATGAATCTGCCTACATCCCCTCTCCTCTATCAATCACAATGAGGTTAAATGCCTCTCAAAAGGGCACGAATAACTCCACCACGGATCGCTACGTGCTACTTTTGACTCGTGCAGAATCTTTGACAGCTTTGGGAAAACTTCCACGGGTTTGATATGTCCCTCTCGTTGAATCCGCCGCTCTGTGTCTGTGTTTCTATTCCTGTCTCCATAGTGACAAGGGTGCAGATAGGTGCCGTGGCAACCGTGACCTGGAATCTTGGTCGCAGACTATAGCAGCTGTATTTACCGATGAGTTCATCCGCCGGGATAGACACTAAAACCCCGCCAGGCTCCCTTTTTCCTCTTCACACATGTGTGTGTGTGTGTTTGTGTGTGTGTGAGTGGAGCGTGTTGATCCATGTAGCTGCTTGCTCGCTGGGTTGGTGTGTAAGCTGGACGCATGCATTTGGGTAACACTCCCTCCCGGAGTCAGCGAAAAGGGCAGCCGACACACACAATGCCAACTCAAGTGGGATATCACAGACAGAGACAAGAGACTTTGGGACGTACCATGTTTAGCGGCCGAAAGGGAGGGGGAGCTCACAAGACTGGCAGTTGTTAACCTTCCTATCGTGGTGTCACATGCTTCCTGCCGCAGACGGAACAGGACAAAAACACAGATGGAGAGCGCTCGACCATGGACACGCACTTCGCTCCCTTCACCACTCTTTCTTTTCCTGCTCCTCGCCTTCAACACCTCATTACCCTGCTAATGTCTAAAGATTCTCTCTTTGGTGACTACGTATTTTTTTGACTACACTCATTTTCCTGTGCTTCCATGTGTCATCCTCTAACTTCTTGAAGTTTCTCCATTACTCGCTTCCTTGCACCTTCCTGACGAGGATTTCATCTCACCCTCTTCTACCCCTCTATCTGACACCAGTTCTTTCACCTTTGCACCTTGCCTCCTCTCTTTTGGATGGATAGCTACTCTGTCCTGTACAGTTCCTCCCACAGAACCGGACTTCTCTCCGGGTTCCAACGCCTGCGCACCGAGAGGAAGATGTGTGATGTCGTCCTCGAGGCCGGCAGCGTATCCTTCCCTTGTCATCGTGCCCTCTTGGCCAGCTCCAGCGAGTATTTTTGGGCGCTGTTTGGAGAGTCTACTGCAGAGAGATTAGCAGGTTCCATTAGCCTCCCAGCGCTAACACCTCAGGGTTTAGACGCCATCCTGGACTTCCTGTACTCAGGTTGGCTCAGCGTATCACCCTCCACAATCTCTGCCGTTCTGGAAGCAGCCAGGTACCTGCAAGTGGAGACAGCTGTGGCGATATGTGAGCGCTTTATGATCGATGGTTTAAGTGTCGAGAACTGCTGCTGCTATGCCAACCTGGCCGAACGCCACTCGCTTTCAAACGCACTTGAAGCTGCCAACCAAACCATTGCTATAGAGATTGGGAAATTGCTGAAGGAAAGCAAAGGTGATCTCCTCGAGCTGAATATCCAGTCGCTGATGTCAGTGCTCGAGGCTGATGAGATACCTGGCATCAAGGAGGTTGATCTCATAAGGCTGGCTTTGGATTGGCTCGATGAGAATGGACCCCTCCCGCTGCTGAAATCAAACCTTCTTCTTAGTCGTCTGCGCTTCGGATTGGTCTGCGAGTCCGATCTCGCCAACCTTCATCACAGAGCCATGGGCACACCTTTAATCAGAAGTCAGCTGACTCGAGCTTTGGAGTACCACAGGATGGGTTCAGCTCAGCCGATCAGACAGAGCAAGCAGTCAACACTCAGAGCATCGCCCAATCGTGTGCTGCTCGTGGGTGGAGGGTCCAGCGCCGATTGTCCAGAACGGCAGTTGTTGGCGTTTGATCCAAGATGCATGAAGTTTTCATATGTGAGTTCCTGTCTTCCGCTGCAGCTGAGAAATCACTGTGTGTGCTCAGTGGGAGGTTTCCTCTTTGTGATCGGAGGGGAGGAAGTTAAAGAGGGTGATGAGGATGGAAAGAAGTCCGTCACCACATCAACAACCAACCAGGTGTGGCGGTACGATCCACGCTTTGACTGCTGGGAGCAGGTGGAGTCCATGCTAGAGAGGCGGGCACAGTTCAGCTGCTGCGTGGTGGAGGACGTTATTTATGCCGTCGGGGGACGACACATACGACCGGACACCAACACATACACCTCGGTCGCGTCTGTTGAGTTTTATGACATGACCACAGGAGCATGGAGGAAGGGAGCAACGATGCCTCGCCCTCTTTATGGCCATGCATCCACTGTGCTTGAGGACAGCATCTATGTGTCCGGTGGCCTCCCGGGCAACCAGGGCACCATCCAGGGCAGTAACCATGGTGATAACCCGGATGAAAACAGGGAGAGCAGCAGAGAGGTCTTGTACTGGGACCTCAAAGGTCGAGTCTGGGAAAAGAGGGCTTCCATGTCAATCGCCAGGTTCAGTCACCGCTTGGCAACAGCCCACGGTTACATCTACGCCCTGTTGGGGATGTACGAACCTTTCTGCGATATAGAACGATATGATTCGCGCTCAGACCACTGGACACGCCTCCGACCGCTTCTTATTGGATCCTTCAACTACGGGATGGTTTCGACACCATCTGGGAATCTGCTGGTATTTGGAGGGAGACGATGGAGCGACGGTCAAGAGGTGATCATGAAGAGTGTGTTGGAGTATGACACAAAGAAAGACAGCTGGAGAGAAATCTGCCAGCTACCCAGACCTCTCACTGGGACTGAGTGCACACTGCTTCCCCTGCCAGACTAAAGTGTGCAGGGAAAACCTTCTAATCTCAAAATGCTGAGCATGAGTTTTGAAATAATATCATAAGCTGGATTCTGAATTTTTGTGTGACATTGTTTCAAAGTCTTCCCGATAAGCGAAATTACTCTTGTAGGAGATGTTTGATATTAATAATGAAGCTAGCACCAGGTTATCTTAGTTTAGTATCTTCCCTTAAGTAGAGACTGTACAACCATCACACACAAGAGGGAATAGAGACGTCCAAACAGGAGATAAACGTGATGAAGGAGGAGGAAACAAGAGCTGAATATTTTATAGAAGTTGGAGATAAAAGTTCTGCGCATGTGACATTCCTGTTTGTTTCATGAATAATTTACGTTTTCTAAAAGATAAAGTAAGAGAAGCCAACCGATGATATCAAGTGACTTTTTTTTCTATCTGCACCGGCAATCAAACGGGAAACATGGGCTGAAGCCGCAGAGCAGAAGAAGCATTCGCTGGGAATCATATGCATGATTTGTGGCTATTAGCTGCAGAATTCATGGGCTTTTAAAGTTGTACCTGAATACTTTCTGTAAAACATGTTTTATAGTATTTGGAGGTAATATTTTTTTTCCAAAGTTTGTAATCCTTGTCAACTGCTAAGTGCAACTTTTTTTGCAGTGTAGTGAACGTGTGGTGTTCAAAATGTTAACATCTTTACATTAAGAAATCATCTTTGTTGACTATTACCATGAGGAAATAATTACATTTACTGCAGAATTGTCCAATTATACATTCCAATTGGTGATTAACATGAATTAATGAATACGTATTATTAATTACGACAGAGTGAATAAAGTTACACCTGCTAAATAAGATCATTAACCCCTGGAAAAAATATTTAAAATTACATTCATTCAATTACTTGTTAAAAACTGAAATGCCAAATTGATATATTAGTGTGTTTATTTAATTCATCTCCGTTTAAGCTCAAGTAGTATCCTACCTTAATGTCTAATTTACTGCTGCAGAGCTAATCATCTCTTTCCTGCTCGTCCACAACTCGTTAAGAACAAAAAACACAAAAACACCTTCGTCCAAATGATCAAACTTTATTGATCCACCCTCTTCTCCCTCTCCGACAGCAAAATAAATACTGCTTTTATACCATTATTTAGAGCTTTAACATGAAACAATCTTTACTCAATTATAATCTCCTCCAAAAAAGACCTGATAGAGTTCGAGAACATGATCCAAGACACTTAGTTTGCACTCTACTAAGAGAGATCTACTGCATCTAAAGATTCAAACACAAAACAGAAAAAGGAATATCGTGTTTTATCTACAACAAAGACATGCGACTACGACCAACCACGGGCAGCAGCATAGAGAGAGCATTCAAACTGAGTGTGCTGTGTGCTTATTAGTGTGCGTCTGTTTATGTGCGTGTATGATTGCTTTCATAGTTTTGTGCAGCGTCTCTGAGTATCAAGTCATTTGGCAGCAGCGTACAAATAACAAACTAATATATTTCTATTAGATCCATACTTCTTATGCAAATATTTCCTCATATTCTCCTTGTTGCATGCAGGGTACAGAGACACAAACAGTCTCTGAGGAAAAGTCCACCCTCGGAAACCTTTACACTGTTAAATAAAGAATAATCAATGAAACTATCAGGGGATATACGTGTTTTTAGGATTTTTTTCATTGTTACATAAACAGTGTTAAAGAGTTCTTAGCGTGAATTGCTCCTTTTAATGTTTCCTATGGAGTGTGCATGCTCCAGGTCCAGCCAAGCACAGAACGAATCTCTACCGAAACAGAACTAGTTTCTCTAAAACTAGATAGAAACGAATTTCAAGCAGATTTATAAAAAACAATGAACTGTGCTCATTGTTCTCTGCTGTAACTGTCACTCTACAGAAAAGTATCGTCACAGACATCAAGTGTGAAGCTGCGTTTCCACCTCAGAAAGTTTCCCCAGGAATTAGGAACCTTTGCGTCTGCACCGCAGGGACCAGGGTCGAAATTTAGTTCAGGGAAAATCTCCTTTACCCCCAAAAAGTACCAGCTTGGGAGGGGCTTGCAGCTCTGATGATGCAAAATTTGGTCGAATACTGCAACTCCAATTTCAACTAATCAATTTCCGCAATAACTCATAAAATCTGTTTCCTTAAATTCAGCATTCCAGGGCCCAAAACAAAATCTGGGATGAAAAAATTCTCATACTCATTGTCGTCTTTTTTCCGATCATGTGAATCGGATCCACGTTTGGTGTCCTTTGTTTACA